CTCCCAAGTAGCTGGGACTACAGGCGCCCGCCACAACGCCTGGCCATTTTTTGGTTGCAGCCATCATTGTTGTTTGGCGGGCCCGGGCTGGGGATTTGAACCCGCCACCTTAGGTGTATGTGGCTGGCGCCTTAGCCGCTTGAGCCACAGGCGCCGAGCCAAAGTTATTTCCAGTTTCTTAATGAACTAAATTGAATGTCAGAAATGATAAGCAGCTCCCCCTCCTCCTGACAGCCCATATCCTGTTGGCCCTGAAGCTCTGGCACGTTCCCGGCCCCCCACCCCCGTAAGAGGCCTGCACCTCAGCCTCACCACTGCTGGCCTTCCTGAGCAGGCTCTGAGTTGTACCAATGAATTCCTCCAGGTCTTGCTCTCCTGCTGGAGTGATTTTCTGATTGTATGGATGGCTCTAGGATAACATCCAAAGTTCTTAGTAGGGCACTCAAGACGCTTTGTCATCTGGACGCAAATGTCCTTCCTGTCACCTCTCCTGCTGCTGTTGCCTCTGTTGCTGTCCTTCAGCCAGGAGATGGCCTGTTTTCTAACTGGAAACATTGTTTTTCAAGCATTTCTCCTCCTCTCTGGAACGTCTTTCCCCGTTTCATCTATCTGGAGAATTCCAATCAAGACCCAGGTCAACTGTGTCTTCAGTGGGATCTTTTCTAAGAGCTGGACAGAGGCCCTCCCTGGGCTTCCATATCATTTTGTGTTTGCTTACAACCACGCCACTAATGACATTGTAATGGCAACATTGATTTATTTGTTTGACTTTCCCAGTAGATCATAGCATATGATGTGGGGAAGGATAACATCCTGGTCATCTTTTTATCTCCAGTGCTGGCACATAGTAGGTCTCAGTAAAGATTTGATGAATGAATGCAAGAGAGAAAGCATAAACATCAATGAGGTTCAAACATAAAGCTTTTGGGTTTTAAATGTGTTGTTATTGGTTCTTTTACAAATAGAACAAAATCCATTTAAAACAAACAACTAAACCTGTTGGTCATGGGCTTCCTCAAAAGCACTTTGGCCCTAAGAGGCTGGCCCTCAGAGGAGGCCAGGAGGAAAGAGTGTCTGCCTGTGCACAGCCCAGTCATGGCATCAGGTCCTCAGCTTGTGTTGCAAAGATGTGGTGAAGTCCGCTGCTGTATGACCCAGTGCCTGGCTTGCAACCCATGCACAGCTAACACTCATGAGTTATGGAATAAATAGATACGTGCAAAAGCAGGAAGGAAGTTGAATGTAATTTATCCAATCTCTAATTTTGAGTTCAACTTTAAATCTTAGAATTGGGAGTAAGTGGAAAATGGATAATCAGTCCCTGTTCTGAGTACTCTTGACCCAACCTTGGGTTAATCATGTCTCAATGCCCCACTGTCATCAGTAACACACATCTGGGCTTCTGGTCAGGGAGGAACAGTAGGAGGGCTTCTCTTACTCCTTTGTCAGGTGTGGCTGATATCTTTCTTCCCAGCTCCAAGGCAGACCCTGCTCTCTGCACCCAGATTCAGTAGGATGGAAGGGGATGAAGTTATAATTGAAGACCTGTCTGCCAACAGCTGTCCCCTGTAGGCTGTGGCTCTAATCTTTGACCCTTAACCCCTGTGAGTCACTCAGATTTCAACTTGCCCAGCCACCCATGGGGTTGAGCAGATCTCCTCCTCTGAGCCCAGCTGCCCCCCTACCCGGCTCCCATGGGGAGCGCTGAAGCTTTTCACCAGCCTTTGTCTGCCGAGCTGTCTCAAGAGCCACCTCTGCCTTTGCTTATGATTATCCCAAACTTTGAAATGCAGTTAGAATAGAATATATTTTCATTCCAGGATAAAACTCCAAGTTTAAAGTGAGTAGTTGTCAATTTAGTGAATCCCAGTGCTCTGAGCCTGTTAAAGACAGGAGCTTTGCTTATTGGGGTGCCTACACTCCGAATTGTGATCCTGGCTCACACCTGGGGTGAACTTCTTACCTGTTTTCAGCTGCCCAGAGTCTGGGTCCTAAGACTCTCTAGGACAGGGCAGGAGACAGGAGAACCACCTGTCCTCGCCCCAAGGGAGAATTACCTCTTTCATACTGTTTTGGGGTCTTCAAGACCATCATAAAGCTGGCGCAGTGGCTCACGCCTGTAATCCCAGCATTCTAGGAGGCCGAAGAGGGTGGATCACTTGGGTTAAGGGGTTCAAGGCCAGACTGAGCAAAAGCAAGACCCTGTTTCTACTAAAATTAGAGAAAACCCGCTGAGCATCATAGTAGCTGCCTATAGTCCCAGCTATTCAGGAGGCTGAAGCAAAAGGATCACTTGAGTCCAAGAGTTTGACATTGTTGTGAGCTATGATGCCAGGGCACTCTACCCAGAGCAACAGAGTGAGACTCTGTCTCAAAAAAAAAAAAAAAAAAGACCATTATAAATTTAGGTGATAATTGCATATTGACTGATTTTTCACATAGATAAACTATCAGGTTTTTGAATTATTGAAACCACATGTTATTTATTTTTCTTTCTTTCTTTTTTTTTTTTTGAGATAGAGTCTCACTTGGTCACCCTTGGTAGAGTGTCCTGGCATCACAGCTCCAGTAACCTCCAACTCTTGGGCTCAAGCAATTCTCTTGTCTCAGCCTCCTGAGTAGCTGGGACCACAGGTGCCTGCCACAAAACCCAGCTGTTTTTTTTTTTTTGACTAGGTCCAGGTTTGAACCAGCCACCTCTGGTATATGGGGCCAACGCCCTACTCCTTTAAGCCACAGGGCTGCTCCCCCCACCCCCCCTTTTTTTTTAAGAGACAGGGTCTTGCTCTTACTTAGGTTGGTCTTGAGCTTGTGAGCTCAGGCAATTCACCTGCCCTGGCCTCCCAGAGTGCTAGGATCATAGGCATGAGGTACCGCGCCCAGCTGCATGTTATTTCTTAATTAAACTCTTTGTCTCACTCATTTAAGCATTATGCAGGTCAATGCTCCTTGAATTTCAGTATGAAAACAAATTTCCTAGCAAGTGTCATTAAAATCCAGACTCAGGTTCAATAGTTCTGTATCTCTAGCAAGCTCCCTGGTGGCGCTTTACAGCTTATTCAAGACCCTCACTTGGAGTCAAAACCTTAGGCGTCCTCCCCCCCCCCAGAGCAAGACTTGGTACTTCCCAGATTCCTGGGGGTAGTTTAAATGAAAAGGAACAGCTTACTAATAACAAGGTGATCCATAGCACTTACACATGAGTCGGCCAGTTTCAGGGTCTCTTTCCAGTTTCCAGTCTGTGTATATCACTTCGCCTTCCTGAAATATTACAGTTTCCTGGTGAGTACTATGACAACTTAAGACCTCACATTTGTGTGCTGAGACTGATTGTAATGAAAACAAATACAAAGTAACAGGTCAATTTAATCAAATAATCATTTGAAACAGTGGGGTGGGGAAGGCTCAAAATGATCACTGCATTTTATATTCAACAAAACAATGAGTGTGTTGAGTGTGTATATATACACATAGTGACAGAGGAACGCAGATAATCTACCTATGAGAGTCTCAGCCACTGGGTTCCCAAAGTTTTTGTCTTTGATCCATGATGGGAGGGCTTAGGTCCATCTTATTTATTTATTTATTTCTGAGACAGAGTTTTACTCTGTTGCCCTTGGTACAGTGCCATGGCGTCATAGCTCATAGCAACCTCAAACTTGGACTCAAGAGATCCTCTTGCTTTAGCCTCCCCAGTAGCTGGGATTACAGGCACCCACTACAACACCTGGCTATTTATAGAGGCAGGGTCTTGCACTTGGTCAGGCTGGGGTCGAACTCCTGAGTGCAAACCATACACCCTCCCTGGCCTCCTTGAGGGCTAGGATTACACGCGTGAGCCACAGTGCCTGGCCTGTTTCAAGTTATAAAATATGCATCTATAGACTAGTGTCCCATTACTTGCCAAATGGAAATCAAAAGGCCCAGTGCAGTAGACAGGCCCTTCGGTACTGGACCCCAGCCTAGCTTCTAGGTGTGGCCTTCCCTCTTGCACCAAACAATTTCACTGTCTCCAGGCAAATCCTAGATTTTCATAACTCCAAACTGTACTCTTGCCATGCTCTTTCTGGTTCCTTCTCAACCTCCAACGTCCAGCCACCTTCCCTGCCTCCCCCTTCCTGTTTGAGTGGCCTCTGGCCTCCTGTTGGTGTTTTCCCATCTTGTTGTTAATGTGTCTGTTCCTTGGCTAGGCAGGGAGGGAGTCCTGGAGGGTGGAGGGACAGTGCTGTTCACCTCTGACCCCAGCACCTAGCACTCAGCACTGTGCCTGGTAGGCAGTATGCTCTCAGAGCTCGCAGACTTCGTTAATCTCTCAATACCAAAAGTGTGAAGGCAAATTGCATTCTGATGTGACTGGGCTATGGAATCTTCCCAGGGTGGCCTGGCCTGGGAGAAATATCCTTTATTTCAGGGAAAGAGAGACATGAATGAAAAGAGCATCTCTGCTCTGTAAGATGAAGGTCTGAGCCTGATTGCCTTGTCTGTCAAATGAGAACAACAATTTCACATTTACAGGATTACTGGGATTAAATGGGATACATTTCGGAATATAACCTGGCAGACCTATATAACCTATATATATAACTTAATATAACCTATAACAGACCCTGATACATAGAAAATGCCCAATAAATGTGAGCTCGCTCTGGTATTATTATAGCAGGTGCTAAAAAGGGGCAGCCATGACTTACCATTATTATAATAAAATTGCTGTTTATCTTTTATTTTTTATTTTATTTTTTATTTTTTTGAGACAGAGCCTCAAGCTATCCCCCTGGGTAGAGTGCCATGGCATTACAGCTCACAGCAACCTCCAACTCCTGGGCTCAAGCGAGTCTCCCCCCTCAGCCTCCCAAGTAGCTGGGACTACAGGCGCCCGCCACAACGCCCGGCCATTTTTTGGTTGCAGCCGTCATTGTTGTTTGGCGGGCCCGGGCTGGGGATTCGAACCCGCCACCTTAGGTGTATGTGGCTGGCGCCTTAGCCGCTTGAGCCACAGGTGCCGAGCCTATTTATCTTTTAAATTCAATGGGTTTTTCACTGTCTTTTCGACCAGATTATGCTAGCTTAACAAAAGAATATATTTCCTTAGTCAATCTCTACTACTTAGCCTGATTTCTTCCATATAGTAAAGGTATTTGATGAATATTTACAGATTGATAATTAATTGAGACAGATTAATAAATTACTAGTAAAAAGAGTACTTAATTTTATAGCTGTTTTCCACATCTGTTTACAAACATATTAAATGTAAATCTATGAGGCCCCCAGGTTAAATTTTTCATTGAAATCATCATATTAAAATATAAAAATGATAAATATAAGCTGTCCCACAACAAGTGTGTACAATAGATGTTAATGTATTTGTGTAATTAGAGAATAATATTAAGAGCAAATGATTCCCATTTACCTCTGTTCCCACAAAGAACTTTGTGCAGAATTCATCTATCGGCTTGAGATGACCAGCCATCCCGCCTTCCAGATTCTGGTATGGGTTTATTTCTTCCATCTTTCCTGCTCTGTCCTGGGCTGCTGAGGAGTGTGGATAGACAGACCACATATTTATAGTGAAAAATCAAAAATAAGTAAACAGTTTACATTTTCCGCCCCTCGTGACATGCATCTGTCCCACACCCTTCCCAACATGGTGAGCACGTGTCCAAACCTTTTGAAACTTTTAATTTAGCAGCAGTAACTTTCTCAAACCAAACATCAGTGGCTGGACCACTACATCATAGCTCTAGCCATATGTGCAAGGTGAAAGTTTAGCTAATCCTAGGGCTGAGATGCAAACGTCATGTGGAACCTCTTTCTTCTTAAAAGTATTTATTTCACCTCATTTTATTTTATTGTTTTATTTTATTTGTTTTAGAGACAGAGTCTCATTCTATCGCCCTCGGTAGAGTGCCGTGGCCTCATAGCTCATAGCAACCTCCAACTCCTGGGCTTAGGCAATTCTCTTGCCTCAGCCTCCCAAGTAGCTGGGACTACAGGCACCCTCTACAATGCCTGGCTATTGTTTGTTGCAGTTTGGCTAGGGCCAGGTTTGAACCCACCACCCTCCGTATATCGGGTTGGCGTAAGGCCCTATCTCACCTCATTTTAAAGCAAAGACCTTTTATGATCTAAAACTAATGTTGCTTAATGAAGCTTTGGAAAACAAAAAAAGCAAAGGTAAAAGAACAAAAGTCATCCGTTATCACGTCCCCCAGAGAGAACCAGGATTAAAATGTTGATATATTTCCCCTCTAGTGACTTTTCTGTGAATATATACAAACATTTTAAAAAATTCAATCATATTATATTTTAGCTTTGTATCCTGCTTTCCTTTTATGTTAGAGATATGTCTTGGGCATTTATCCAGATCACTTATTAGTTTTTCAAACATGTGATATTAAATTCTGGGAAAGATACAGGATTTTATAAACATAGATTATTTCTCTACCATCACCTCAAGTGATCCTCCCCAGTTTAGCCTTCCAAAGTGCTGGGATTATAGATGTGACCCATGGCACCTGGCCTTGAAAGGCTCTCTCTCATTAAATGCCAATTCCCACAATATTTTGATCTACAGATTCAATACAATTCCAAGCCAAATCATAGTTCCTTCTTAGCAAATATCTCAAGAATGGAAGAAAAAGTATGCAATGTATTCAGCCCTACTATAAAACTAGTCTATAGCTTTCATACGAAAGCTATAGCCCAATTATAGCCCAAAAATATGGAGACAGGGGAGAGGGAACGGAGGGGAGGGGGAAGAATGAGTGGTGGGAGAGGGATTGGTGGGGCCACACCTATGGTGCATCTTACAAGGGTACATGTGAACCTTTCTAAATGCAGAATATAAATGTCTTAACACAGTAACTAAGAAAATGCCATGAAGGCTATGTTAACCAGTTTGGTGAAAATATTTTAAATTGTATATAAAACCAGCACATTGTACCCCATGACTGCATTAATGTACACAGCTATGATTTAATAAAAAAAAAAAAAAAAAAAAACCTTAGGGATTTCTAAGCGACGGTTAAGAGAATGAGACAACAAATCACAGATTGAGAGGACATAGTTGCAAGTCTCATTAGGCACTAGTGTCTAAAATATATTCAGGACTTGCAAAACTCAATAAGAAGAAAACAAATGACCCATTTAAAAAGTGGGTAAAAGATTTGGACACATACACATGGCAGGTAAACATCTGAAAATACACACTCTGCATCTTTGGTCACTAGGTAAATGTGAAGGAGATATCACTATCTATATGTTGGAATGGTTAAATATAAAAGTCTAACCATACCAGTTCTTGGTAAGGATGTGGAGTAACTAGAACTCTCGTACACTGCTAGTGTGAATGTAAAATAATAAAATCACGTTAGAAAACACTGTGACAACCAGGTGTGGCGGCTCGCGCCTGTAATCCCATCACTGTGGGAGGCTGAGGTGGGAGAATTGCCTGAGTGGGAGTGAGACCCTGACTCCTAAAAAAATGAAAAACTGCCTTTGTATTAACCTGGATGGAAGTGGAACACATTATTCTTAGTAAAGTATCCCAAGAATGGAAAAGCATGAACCCTATGTATTCAATTTTGGTATGAGGACAATTAATGACAATGACATGGTAGGGGTTGGGGGAAGGGAGAGAATCGAGAGAGAGAGAGAGAGAGAGAGAGAGAGAGAGAAGGATTGATGGGGTGGGGTCTTGGTGTGTGATATACCTTTTAGGGGCAAGACACAATTATAAGAGGGACTTTACCTAATAAGTGCAATCAGTGTAAACTGGTTTCTTGTACCCTCAATGAACCCCCAACAATAAAAAAAAAAAAGAAAAGAGAAGAAAAGAAAAACTCAGCTGGGTGCTGCAGCTAACACCTGTAATCCCAGTGGCTTCTGGTGGCTGAGGCAGTGGGACCCTTACAACCCAAGTCTGAGGTTGCAGTGAGCTATGATGCCATTGCACTCTGCTCAGAGAATAGGGTAGGACTCTGTCTCAATAACAACAACAACAAAAAGCAAAGAAATGAAAATAAAAAATAAGCAAGGAAATAAAAAAAAAAGAAAACACTTTGGCAGTTTCTTAAAAAGCTACACATATACCAACCATATGATCTAGCCACCCAAGACAAAAGAAAGCATTGCCAGTACAAAGACTTGTACATGAATGTTCATAGAAGCTTTATTTGTAATAGCTTTAAGCTGAAAACAATTTACATGTCCATCACTAGGTGACCCAGTAAACAACTGTGGTATGTCCATACAATGAAATACTATTCAGTAATAAAAAAGAATTAACTATTGAAACAGACAACACAGATGAATTCCAAAATAATTACACGGATTGAAAGAGGCCAGACCCCTCTCCTAGAGTATATGCTGTGTGATGTATACAATTCTAGAAAATATAAATTAACATACTGTGACAAAAACTCAATCAGTGGTGACCTGGGAATGAGGGAAGCGCAGGAAGGAGGCTCACAGAAGGAATCCTTCTGTGACTTTTGGGAGTGATGAATATGGTCATTGTCTTGGTTATGGTGATGGTTTCATGGGTGTGTACAGCAGTCAAAACATAGCAAATTTGACACTTTGACAAAGTGCAGTTTATTGTATGTCAATCATACTTTGATATAGTTGGTAAAAATGAATTACAAGCGATAATGATATCCTTGTTATAAACTGGGTAAAAGTAGTCACAGCCCCCTGGCCACTTGTTCTTGTTAGGCTAAAATATAATACTAGGATATTTAATATGCTACCTTTTTACAAATCATGTTAATCTCTCTTAGCCTTGGTTTCCTTAATTATAAAACGGTCATGAGAATCCCCAACTTGCAGATTATAGCAAAAGTTAGCATCTGTTTCTACTCACCATTAGAGCACCAGGGCCTAGCACAAAATAAGCATTTCATAAATACATGTTAAGTGAATGAAAACAGGCAATATTAGCGCAGTACCTGACCCATAGCTAGAATTCGACATCGGAACCAATAAACAAATACAAAAGAGGAGGGAGAGAAGGAAAAGAAGAGGAGGGTGAGAGGAGGAG